CAACCGAAGGTAGCTGGAGCTGCTTGGCTGTACACGCTTTAAAATTAAAGGAAGGTAATAAAATGAATCGACAAACATTAAAATATGTTAGAGGTGTGATGCTGTTATTTATGAATTAGGGGCGCCCGTCACATATGACAAATTAACTCAGCCGAGTTATTTAAATAAGGCTGAAGACCTAGATTTTCACTGTGAACAACGTAAATTAGGTAAACGTATCACCACAACAACTGAAACCCACTTTTTGGGCATCCTGTCGGCGGACACTGAACACATACATTACGAACCTGTTGAGTTCCAGGCCGAGAGCATTTGAGCACACAGTGGTCTCCATCCAGGAGGAAGCCATCTGTGGAGGTAAAAATTGAAGGGTTCTTCCAATTTATGAAGCAAATAGTTGCTTGTACCAATCTCGGCAAATGACGTACCTGGACACTTCGAGACGCACATATGCCCCAACGCCACTCTGCCCTCCTTATTCACCTTCCACGCTGATGTAAGGACGTCATAGAAACGCGTGGCTGGACACGCAGAAACACAGTTTCCTTTGTGGGAGTATCTTCTACAGGCCTTTAAAATGGTGAACATAAATTTTATGTCCATGAAGAGGTGGAAGGTTGGTATTTTTTTTCTGCATGAACTGATTTACCAAGCATTCGTTGGACCTTGTTCCGCTGCATCCACCGACACATTCATCATGACAGCACTCTTCCACTCCTCCCTCTTTAACACATCGGTTTGGGCCACTGCAAACTCTCGTCTGGCATTTTTTAACTGTAAACATGAGGAGGAAGCAACTTGATAAAGCGTTGTTTTGCAAAGCATGACATATACACAGAGACTTACGTATTTGACACTGATTGACACCAGGTCCCCAGCAGAAAGACCTTCCGTTTCGCTTGAAGCAGCTGTCATGACATTTCCATTTCAACTGTGGTCCAGTCTCCGAAGAGAGGTTCCAGAGAACACGGAATGTCTCGTTCGTAAAAAGTTCCCCAAATTCACTTGAACTTCCTGATGGGTCTTGTGTTGTGTGTGTCAAGTTTTCAGCACGATTAGCAGTTTCTTAAGGCCAGAAAATTGGTTATCGTATAAATTTTCCGACAATTTAAAAGATAAGCTTATAAACTTGAACAAAACATCGCTTGTTCAAATATCCTAGTCTCTCCAAATAATCCACGTGCAGAGAGCTTCCACTTTCTCATGCATCCAACAATGGGAAACTGAGGACTGAAAGTCACACAAACCAGAGCTTCTGAAATAATAGTACCTGTAGTGGATACAGTTGTGCCACCTTCCTGCCTATCCAGGAATACTTCGGGATTCTCATCCCCTTTTTGTGTTCCACCGCTCACAGCCTTGATGAGTACAACTTCGGTTAAGTTGGTTTCGAAGGTGCTGAAGCTCACGGTGGGTGGCTGAACAGTTGGCATTGAATTCGTAGAATGTGGTGACTGTGTGTTGTTCAAAGCCACAGCAGTCAACAAATTTTCACTAAAATTTCGCCGTAGTCGAGCTAAAATAAATATTTTCACAGACAAGGAGTGATAGGATTATTCTCAAAAGTACTTAAATGTTGCATGCATTAATGTGTTTAAACCTAAATCAAAAAGTTTTCGGCGCCTTACACAATGGTGCTTTTTCACATAAATTCGCTGCATAACTCATTTAAGAAACCTTCACTTTACCAATAAAGTGGAGCTTAAACTCAAACAGCTTGATGATATGGGAAGTGTAGACTGAGAGTTTCCTTCTACTTTAGCTTAATTTAAAATGCAAAGAAACACTTAAGTATTCAGTTCTTAACCAATGTTAATAATCACCTGCTATGGTGTAGGGAGCTCAGATGTGTACAAGTTTACCTACTTGTTGCATTGCTCTCGTTCATAAAAGACGGAGATGTGGTGGAGTGGATGGAGGCTCGTGAGGCATCAGCATATCGAGTGGCACAAGCTGTGATCCAGTGAGAGGTTGCAGACCTGCTATTCATGGGAACCAGTATCACCGGCTGCAGATCCGGATACTCCAAAATATCGTCCCAATTCACCGAAAATGGGGCGTAGCAGAGACCCGGATTGTCGAAGAAACCCACTCCGTGCATTAGGATGGCTGAAAGTACGGATTTACTGTGACTACTCAGTACAAAAGCTTAATCTACAAGTGCTACGCAAAGAAAAAAAATTGCTTTCTTTCATAATTATAACTGTGTTTTAAATCCTTTTTCGGTAATGCATCTGCAAACTAACCTTCAAGAGAGGGAAATTCGATGTCCAGCATGAAGTCCCTATTGGAAGTATAAGTTTCTGTTACAAGAAGTGTGAAGGCTTGACCTCGTATCTGAACCGACTCTTCACCTCGAATTATTCGCAATTTCGGTAGACCAAAGTGCGGTTTTGTTACGCGCCGAATGAAGACGTAACCGGAAACTTCCTCGACAGAGTTCAAGAAACCGATGTCTTCATCTGTAAAACAGTTGTTTTGCAGGATTGATGTACGTTCGAAGCTATACAAAGGCCTGTGAATTAAGTAAGCCATGCAAAATTTATTTTATAGAGCACATAAAATCGAATCGTTGAGGAGGCACAGGTAGGACGGCTTGTCGAAGCAACGTACTGGGACGTATTTCGGAAATGATGAGGTTTCCAAGGATATGGCTACAGTTGCGAGCGAATTTCGCCTTCAATTTTTCATAGTTATCAAACAGAGCATCCTGCCAAGTCGAGAATCCCTTACAAACTATAAAAAAATTATACCGCATGTAAGAAAGAACTTTTTCTCGAGGAAACAAGTTCTGGTGCCTCGAGTCAATTCAAAGCCCATCATCAAAGTCCGTAGATGTAGGAAGCAAAATGTCCATCAAATATGTGGCACTATTTATGCAATCACAGCATATCCAAGGATGACAATCGGGTATTAAGAGCATAAATATCCGCGGCTGGACATAAGCACTGGCATTATGCTGCACCAAAAAAGAAAGCCTTTCCTACTGTACAAAACGGCTTACTTCTTTTGCCTCGATACTTAGGATCGCGGAAGTAGGGTGTGAATGGATTGATAAGTTCATGGGCTATTAGTTCTACCTCGTCGATGGTGGGAAAGGCTTCTGGACTCAACGTCTTCACATGGATGAAGCAGAGCAGAAGGGCTAGCAAGTGCAAAGCAAGCATTTTACGCAGAAATGATGATTTGGGGCAGGATAGGTGGTCCGGACACTCACATGTGCCTGGTGTAAGTGAATATGCAAATAGGGCTCGCAGGCGTGTGCACTACTATTAGTACCCTTGAGGAATGTGGGGCGTGCACACAGGTCCGGTGATGGTCGTGTCATCACAATGATTGGATTTGCATAAAACAACGGACTGAACATTGAACAATGAACAATTAGCCATAGTCCGAGTCTCCTGCCCTACAAAATGCTATTAAGACAATGGCAAAAGCTTGCAAATGACACTTCATTCACTATCAGTGTTAAACAAAGAGAGCGAAGCAAAAAGACTTCTTTCTTCGAGGCTCTTACTGAATTGGTCGAAAGCAAATATGATTTCCATTTCAAGGAGTTCCAATCGCCAGTTCCTACAATTGTGATGTAGATGTAAAAGAGAAGTCTAAGGTGATTTGCTTTGCCACTCGAGAATCATTAACTGGCTTCCCAAATGGTTACCGCCACTAATGCTCCTTTCTATAGACCTTTAGGATCCGACGTTAGCACACCGGCAGGTTTGCCTTGCAGTTGTGAGTCGGTAGACAAAGGGAGTGCCAGTCGTATTACGGCGGTTCCGAGACCCGGTCTTTTCGGCCACCGTGATTACACCATTAGATAGTCATAAGACGGTTTGGCTTGAGAAATGCACAGTGCCCAAACATAGTCCTGATTGGATTTAATAGAAAGG